AAGAATGAATGTGATGTGTAAGATTTTCCAGTGACGGAAGAGGTGAGAGTGATGCTGAGCAACCAGACCCGCCAGGCTCTCCCCTCCGTGCTCACAGGAGAGCTCCACGCTAGTCAGTCCAATCGCTTTATTACCTCATGGCGCAAGAAACCAATAGAGACTCGGGACAGAGACCTTTTGAACCTGCTACCTCTGTGTGCCCTGGGCCAGTGGAGGAGGCCAGGCTGGGAAGAAATCCCCCCCAAAAAAGACATTGCCCCATTCCCCTTGATGGAGGGCGCTGGGGCCCACTGCCTGACTGGCCATTGGACTTCTGTTTTTGGCTCTAGGTTTCCTTTGCTTTTATTATTATTCTCATCATTATTTTTCTTCTATAAAATTGATGACAAGTTTTGCCGTGCGAGTCATTTGTGGTGGCGGTGAAAAGTTTGCCCGTTTCCCTTTCACAGGGCAGTTAACGCAGAACATGATCACACAAATACCATTCTGGTACATAAAAGATCTTAGGCTAAATCCACACCGCAGAAGTACAGCCGTTTGGCATCATTTGTTTACTATAAATCTATATAAATAAAATGTAATGTTCGTTTGTGGGGTTAACATAACTCAAAAACCACTGGATGAATTGACACCGAATTTGGACACAATACACTTGACAGGCCAATGAGTGACTGTCACTCATAAAAACACTGGAAAACACAGCGGAGGGGACTTGAAACAGCCAAAAAAGCAAAAAGACGCAACAGCAGATGCACAAAAACAAGCCCCCTTGCCAAACAAAACACACAATAGCATATCCATACTCTCTGTGGACTACAGCTCCCAGCATCCTCTAGACCAGGCCTTTTAGGAGAGGAGGATGATCCAAATGCACTGTTTCCAATATGCAAGCTTTCTTTTTGGATTTTTTAAAGAGCATCCCTATCCCTGCATACTTCCAATTTCCTATTCCTGGACTGCAACTCCCAGCAATCCTCCAGATAGATAGATTAGAGCGAGAGAGAGGGGTAGGTAGGTAGGTAGGTAGATCAGGAGTACTGCTGGGAGGATCATCAAGTTTGCAGATGACACCAAATTGGGAGGGAGAGCCAATACTCCAGAGGACAGGAGCAGGATCCAAAACGATCTTGACAGATTAGAGAGATGGGCCAAAACTAACAAAATGAAGTTCGACAGTGACAAATGCAAGATACTCCACTTTGGCAGGAAAAACGAAATGCAAAGATACAGAATGGGGGACAATGCCTGGCTCGAGAGCAGTACGTGTGAAAAAGATCTTGGAGTCCTCGTGGACAACAAGTTAAACATGAGCCAACAATGTGATGTGCGGGCAAAAAAAGCCAATGGGATTTTGGCCTGCATCAATAGGAGCATAGTGTCTAGATCCAGGGAAGTCATGCTACCCCTCTATTGTGCCTTGGTTAGACCACACCTGGAATGTTGTGTCCAATTCTGGGCACCACAATTGAAGAGAGATATTGACAAGCTGGAATGTGTCCAGAGGAGGGCGACTGAAAAGATCAAGGGTCTGGAGAACAAGCCCTATGAGGAGCAGCTTAAAGAGCTGGCCATGTTTAGCCTGAAGAAGAGAAGGCTGAGAGGAGATATGATAGCCATGTATAAATATGTGAGAGGAAGCCACAGGGAGGAGGGAGCAAGCTTGTTTTCTGCTTCCTTGGAGACTAGGACGCGGAACAATGGCTTCAAACTACAAGAGAGGAGATTCCATCTGAACATTAGAAAGAACTTCCTGACTGTGAGAGCCGTTCAGCAGTGGAACTCTCTGCCCCGGAGTGTGGTGGAGGCTCCTTCTTTGGAAGCTTTTAAGCAGAGGCTGGATGGCCATCTTTCAGGGGTGATTTGAATGCAATATTCCTGCTTCTTGGCAGAATGGGGTTGGACTGGATGGCCCATGAGGTCTCTTCCAACTCTTGATTCTATGATCTCTCCCAGCGGCTTCATGTAGGAAGAAAGGGGAGAAAGAGGAAGGGAAGGAAAAGTGGGGAAAAGGAAGGGAAGAAGAAGAAGAGAAGGAAGGAGAGAAAGAAAGAAGATAAAGAGGGAGGGAAGGTTGGCCACAGCAACACATGACGGGTACAGCTAGTTTACTGCAAATATAGTAAATAAGTAACAAAAACATCACTTCAACTTCCATGGCTCAAGGCTGTGGAATTCTGAGGTTTGTAGTTTTGTGAAGCATTTACCTTTCTTTTGATGCATTTGCACTGTAGAATCAATATAGTTTCATGCCACTTTAACTGCCATGGCTGGATGCTATAAAATCATAGGAGGAGGAGTTTTACAAGGTCTTTATCCTCTGCTAAAGAGTGCTGGTGCCTCACCAAAGTACAACTCCCAGGAATCTATTGCATTAAATCATGGCACTTCCAAGTAGTGTCAAATTGCATTAATTCTACATTAAAGATTGATCCCCAAATGCAGCTGCATTTTGTACCAACTTGAGCTTCTGGGTCACCAGTAGAGGAAGGCCAATGTAGAGGGCATTACAGTAGTCCGGTCTTGAGATGACTATGGCCTGGATCACTGTAGCTAGGTCGTCCCTGGACAGATAGGGGGCCAGCTGTCTAGCCTGCCACAGATGAAAGAAGGCGGTTCTGCTAATGGCAGAGACCTGGGCCTCCATTGTCAGCAGAGGGTCCAAAAGGACTCCCAGACTCTTTATCAATGATGACGGGTGTAGTGCCTCGCCATCCAGGGTAGACAGCTGGATATCCCCACTGCCTGGTCGACCCAGCCATAGGATCTCCGTTTTTGCCGGATTCACCCTCAACCTACTGGCACGCAGCCATCCACTAATGGCCTCGAGACACTGATGAAAATTATTGGGTACAGAGTCCGGTCGGCCTTCCATCTTCAACATGACCTGAGTGTTATCAGCGTACTGGTAACACTCAAGCCCAAAACCTCGGACCAGCTGAGCAAGTGGTCGCATATAGCTGTTAAACAACAGAGGGGAGAGAATGGCACCCTGAGGAACCCCACAAGATAAAGGGGACCTCTCAGAGACCAGGCCTCCCCTTTCCACTCACTGTCCACGGCTGTGAGGAAAGGAGGACAGCCAATTTAAAGCTGTCCCCCTGACTCTAACAACAGCAAGGCAATGGATCAAAAGATTGTAATCGACTGTGTCAAATGCTGCTGTGAGATCCAATAACACAAGCAGAGCCGACCCACCTTGGTCAAGCTAGTATCAAAGATGATCTGTGATGGAGACTAACACAGTCTCTGTCCCATGCCCCACACGTTTTGGCCTACAACTCCCAGAAATCCCAGCCAGTTTACGAGTTAGAGGCCAAAACATCTGGAGACCCACAAGTTGAGAACCACTGAGCTCTTAAAAACCTTCTGGTGTTAACCCAGCCCATGCCCCTTAAGTATATATCAAGCTGTAGGGCCTAACACCTCAGTTCCTTTTCAACTGCAGCAGTAGCAGCAGTAAAGGAATTGCTTTTAGTTCTCACTTTAGAACAGATGTTTGATTTGGACTGGATTTGACTATTCTTATGGATATACCTTGAGCAAAACTCGTGGTGTTGACATCAGACTGTTTAATGGCTCTTCTTAATCCCTTGGACTCTTGATTCTTGGTTTGACCTTGACAGTTGGACAATGCTTTCACCTTATTCTTGGCCTATACTTTAACCTTTCTGCTGTGAGTATCCTCAAGGGTTTGTTATTCCTAATAGTTTCTTCCAGGAACTGACCTTACTTTCCCATTGATATGACAGCCACATTTGTGAAGAAATGCAGTGTGGCTCGTAATGGTAAATTTGAAAGATACCTGTTTTTGTATTTCAGTTTGACCCAGCCATCCCAGGTTTTTCTCCTATTCGATAGGAACCCTGGCCTACTTTTTTTATGTTCTACCATTGGATATCTGCACAACATCTGCACAAGTGCATGGCAGTGGCGGCGACCCATTTCCACCTTAAAGGCGTAATGGTTTTTCTCTATATTGACAATTGGCGTTTGGTCACAGAGTCACAGTCTCAGCTGCAGGCTCACATTACTATAACTTTATCACCTGCAGAGCCTGAGTTTGGTCATCAATCACAAGAGGTCCTCATTCGTACAAGTGCAATGCATTCACTTTATGGGAGCCATCACTGATACAATTCAAGAATTGGCTTATCTACTAGAGGATTGTTTCAGAACCCTCCACTCCAATATCACTGAGTAACGCATTACGATCAGGCACAATAACTGCCAGAGCAGTTCAGTCCATCCTGGGCCATATGACCACCACCACTGTGGTCACCCCCTTTGAGCTAGGTGTGAATGTTTCAACTGACCACCTTCATTAGCATTTGAAGGCCTGGCTGAGCCTGGGAGAATCTTTTGTTGAGAGGTGTTAAGCTGTGCTTGGTTGTTTCCTCTCTGCTGTTTTGCTGTTGTAATTTTAGAGTTTTTTTAATACTGGTAGCCAGATTTTGTTCATTTTCATGGTCTCCTCCTTTCTGTTGAAATTGTCCATATGCTTGTGGAGTTCAATGGCTTATCTGTGTAGTCTGTGTAGCTCTGTGTAGCTCTGTGTAGCTCCAGCAGAGAAGAGCTCTTTGCCCCACCCAAGTCATTCCACAGATATATAAACCCATTGTCCTAGTTCCAACAGACCTCACTACCTCTGAGGATGCTTGCCATAGATGCAGGTGAAACGTCAGGAAAAAAATGACTCTAGAACATGGCCATATAGCCCGAAAAATCCCACAAGAACCTATTGATTCCAGCCATGAAAGCCTTCGACAATAAATCCAATTGCTACTTTCCCAAGTGGTTGCTATCCTAAAGGACCAGACATTGGCTGATCTTGTATGCTTAGAGAAGAACTTGCAAGGTCCCCAGGAATGCAGAGAAAGCAAAGCATCATGTGTTCCCATTCCGAAGGCTGAGGCATTTGCAGAATGCCAGAGGTTGCAATACCAGAGGTTGGGCAGAGGTGGAGTCATCAGCTGCTTTCCAGGAAGAGAAATGAAAGTAAGGCTATTAACTGTCTGGACTCAGCAGTGAAGCAGCATCAGCAGCCATGGCCTCTGGAGACCCAGTCAAGAAGCTCCGTGAAGAACTGGCCTGTCCCATGTGCTCAGAGTATTTCAAGGAGCCTGTGACCATCCCCTGTGGGCACAATTTATGCCAATCCTGCCTGGATCAGTGCTGGGAAGGGAAAGAGGCCTCCTGCCCACAATGCAGGAAGAAAGTGCAGAAAGGAGACACTAGGCCAAATAGACAATTGGCAAACCTGGTGCAGATAGCAAAGGAACTGAAGAGCCAGAAGGCAGAAGAGAAGGGCAGAATCTGCCAGAGGCACCAGGAGCCTCTAAAGCTCTTCTGCAAGGACCATGAAGCCCCCATCTGTGTGGTGTGTGACAGGTCGAAGGAGCACAAAAACCACCAAGTGATTCCTCTGGATGAGGCATCGAAAGAGTACAAGGTAGGAGAGGGCAAAATTCGGTAATAGTATAAAAGCTGGATCCGGAAACTCTGAACATTACGCAGTTTCCGCTGTTTCCGCTGTTTCCACTTTGCTCCTTTGGGAGTGCTGTTTGCACAACGCAGAACGGAACACAGATATTATAGAAAGAATGCAGGAACTCTTTAATGGTAAAACCCTTACGCGAACCCTAACCCTAAGACTAAGACTAACCCTTAACCCTAACCCAAACCCTAACCCAAAACTTACTCCAAACCCTAACTCTAACCCTTACCCTAAACCTTATCCTAACCCTCCCCTCCTTTCTATCCTTCCACCAAATGCAACTAAGAAGTATATTCCCGCCCTCAGTGTGCCGCTCTCCCCTTCCCTTATTCACAACTGCCATTGCGGAATGTGCGTAACGCTCAAAGCTTCCAGATCCAGCTATCATACTATCACCTAAAGTTCCACCCCACAATACAGAGGGGTGGCTGGTAATTCAATATTTTATTTATTTGCCATACTTGTACTCCGTCATTCTCTACCCCTTGAGGGGGACTCAAGGCAGCTTACAATGGCACAACATTGTTGCTCAACACAATCACCTAAACATTTCAAAAATTGTGAGGTATTAAACAGAGTTAAAACAGATTTAAAAAGTTAAAAACTTAGAAAACACACCATCCAAGTTCATGGTCTGAGTCCGTTCTAAGGTCAATTGCATAAGGTTTCGATTTAAAAAATACTGTATTGCCTTAGTTTCTGAAGACCTGCTCACAGAGCCAGGTTTTGACTCTTTTCCTAAAGGCTAATAGGGAGCTGCTCTGATGTCGCTAGGGAGGGAGTTCTACAATTGAGGGGCCACCACTGAGAAGGCCTTGTCTCTCATCCTCACCAGCCATGCTTGTGAGGCTGGCAGTAACGAGAGCAGGGCCTCCCCGGAAGATCTTAATCTACATGCTGGTTTGTAGGGAATGATACATCCAGACATGTAGCGTGGGCCAGAACCATTTAGGGCTTTATAGGCTAAAGCCAGCATTTTGAATTGTGCCCGGTAGCCAACTGGCAGCTAGTGGAGCTGACGCAACAGGGGAGTTGTACGCTCCTTCAGGCCCGGGGTTTTGAGAAACTTAAGATACATCTACACTGTAGAATTAATGCAATTCGGTACACTTTTAGCTGGCTTGACTCAATGCTATAGAACCAAAGGAGCTGTAGTTTCCCCTGCCAAAGACAACTCTCAAAACGTCATAGCCTTGAGTAGTTAAAATAGTGTAATACCAAATTCATTCTACAGTGTACCTGCACCCTAAAGATGTTATCAGTTGGCCACCAGAAGTGCTCCACTTTGTAGAGGAACATGGGGAATATGGTGCTCCATGCCCGCATCGCCAGACTCCATGCATTGCAATAGCAACACAGGAGCTCTCCCGTCTTTCCCTGGCAGTGGCATGCGCCGGCTCTGCTCTCCTTCACCCACTGAGTCAGTGTGATGGGAGCCAGTTTGGTTGGTGAGTGACCGGGGCTAAATTGGCACATGCCACTCAATTTAGTTCGGTGTGATGAGTTGGTAAGACGGAGCAATAAAACAAACTACAGGAAAAAAGATTCCACCTGAACACTAGGAAAAACATCCCGATGGAAAAAATCTGTTCCATTGTAGAATTCTCTATATCTGATTGTGTTGGAGTCTCTAAACAAAGGCTGCATGGCCATTGGTCAGGGGATGCTTTGATTATGTGATCCTGAATGGCAGCATGTGGGTGGATATTAGATTTTATTGCACAAACCTGCTACCCCTCTATTCTGCCTTGGTTAGACCACACCTGGAATATTGTGTCCAATTCTGGGCATCACAATTGAGGAGAGAGATTGACAAGCTGGATTGTGTCCAGAGGAGGGTGACTAAAATGATCAAGGGTCTGAAGAACAAGCCCTATGAGGAGCAGCTTAAAGAGCTGGGCATGTTTAGCCTGAAAAAGAGAAGGCTGAGAGGAGACATAATAGCCATGTATAAATATGCGAGAGGAAGTCATAGGAAGAAGGGACCAAACTTGTTTTCTGCTGTCCTGGAGGCTAGGACGCGGAACAATGGCTTCAAACTACAAGAAAGGAGATTCCATCTGGACATTAGGAAGAACATCCTGCTGTTAGAGCCATTCAGCAATGGAACTCTCTGCCCCGGAGTGTGGTGTAGGCTCCTTCTTTGGAGGCTTTTAAACAGAGGCTGGATGGCCATCTGTCGGGGGTGCTTTGAATGCAATTTTCCTGCTTCTTGGCAGGGGGTTGGACTGGATGGCCCATGAGGTCTCTTCCAACTCTAGGATTCTATTATTCTGTTCCACTGCAGTTGAGCTCTCACTGACAGTAGGTGCATACTGAGGCCCTGTCTACACTGCCATATAATCCAAATTATCAAAGTTGATTGCAAAGTAGAGTGCAAGAGTGGAATGAGAACTCATTGATAAATAAAATATTGGACTTTATTGCACAAACCCTTTCACTGTTATTGCATTTTAATTGATAGTGGATACATACCAACAAGAACACCTTCAACAGCACTCCTCTCTTCAATTCAGCGATTCATGGTCCCGCGATTGCACTTTGCATACCTTGTAACCCCAGCTTCCTGCACTTCTGCTGTTCTTTATCTTTTTAAATTTTATTATAATTCCAAACTTTTATATTTAAGTCTATTTTGGAGGAAATTCAGTTTCAGCTTTAATAAAATATAACAGCAAATGCAACATGAAATATAAAATGAACAACTTTGGAATAGTGAGGTAGAGTGGGGAGAGGGGAAAGGGAAGAGAATCCTCCTTCCTGATGTGACCGTATTGCCATCATACTAAGACAGAAGTGGAAGGTTCCCTTGCATCAAGGTAAATGACAGGAACATTGCGGGATTGCAAGCTATTGAAACAGCAAATAAATAAGGATGGTAAAATCATGACAAGGCGTCAGGATGCACATAGTGTCATGTGATAGGGGTACCATGCAAGTTTGCCTGCCTTGTGCAATAGCATCCATTATGTGGATCTCCAAAGTAAAATTGATTAGTACAGAAACTAAACCTGATACATTAAGATACTTTTTTGATTGTTTGAAGGGGCTCATTATGTGTAAGGAAAATTGTGGAAGCAGCATTTACAAAAGGGGAGAGGGATGCCAAGAGAGGTCAAGATTGGCCAAAGCTCCTCTAAAATCCAGTAAATGAGGTGAGGTTGAAGGCATGGGAGCCCCAGTGGCGCAGTGGGTTAAACCACTGAGCTGCTGAATTTGCTGACTGAAAGGTCAGTGGTTTGAATCCAGGAAGTGGGGTGAGCTCCCGCTGTTAGCCCCATCTTCTGCCAACCTAGCAGTTTGAAAAACACGCACACGTATTATTTATTTATGTATTTATTTACAGTATTTATATTTTGCCCTTCTCACCCCACAGGGGACTCAGGGCAGATCACACTGCACATATACATGGCAAACATTCAATGCCATAGACACACAACATAAATAGACAGATACACAGAGGCTATTTAACTTTCCAGCGTCATGAGGGTATGCTTTTTGAATTCTGGTGACCAGGGGAGCTGTTGCTTCACCATCCACTTGTGACACTGATGGAGTACTTCCTCATTCTTTTGCATGCAGCTGGGGAGTTAAAATTAGTTAATTTAGCCTCCCCACATAAGTGGTACCTAAATTTCCTACTTGACAGATGCAACGGTCTTTTGGGCTGTAAAAATCAACAGCAAGCTAGACAAATGGTCGGGAGCTTACTCTGACCCGGGCTGGCTTCGAACTCATGACCTTTAGGTCAGAAGTGATTTTAATGCAGCTGACTCCCAATCAGCTGTGCCACAATCCATTGCCCAGGGTAGCTAGATCAATAGGTACCACTCTGGCGGGAAGGTAACGGCGCTCTATGCAGTCATGCTGGCCACATGACCTTGGAGGAGTCTGTGGACAATGGCGGCTCTTCAGCTTAGAAATGGAGATGAGCACCAACCCCCAGAGTTGGATATGACTAGACTTAATGTCAAGGGAAAACCTTTACCTTTACCTCAAGACATGATCTTTGAATCTATTCGAACCCTTGAACAAAATAAGTGACCAAGGGCTTTGTTTTCCTTTTCAGGATCAAATTTGGAATTTGCTGGAGTCTCTGAAGAAGGAAAGAGAGAAAATTCTGGCCTACAAAGCAAATACAGCAAAGGAAACTGATGATGAGCTTGTAAGTGGGAAAACACTGTGTCTGGACAAACTGGATACGCAATGCAGAAATCATTATATCAAAAATGCCTATATGCATTTTACAAAATGCATTGTCGAAGGCTTTCATGTTACAAAATATTGTCGAAGGCTTTCATGGCCGGAATCACTGGGTTGTTGTAGGTTTTTTTGGGCTATATGGCCATGTTCTAGAGGCATTCTCTTCTGAGGTTTCACCTGCATCTATGGCAAGCATCCTCAGAGGTAGTGAGGTCTGTTGGAACTAGGAAAATTGGGTTTATATATATGTGGAATGACCAGGGTGGGACAAAGGACTCTTGTCTGCTGGAGCTAGGTGTGAATGTTTCAACTGACCACCTTGCTTAGCATTCGATGGCTTGGCAGTTTTTTGGTGTGGCTTTTTAGTGCCTGGGGGATCTTTTTGTTGTGAGGTGATTAGCTGTCCCTGATTGTTTCCTCTCTATTGTTTTGCTGTTGTAATTTTAGAGTTTGTTAATACTGGTAGCCAGACTTTGTTCATTTTCATGGTTTCCTCCTTTCTGTTGAAATTGTCCACGTGGATTTCAATGGCTTCTCTGTGTAGTCTCACGTGGTGGTTGTTAGAGTTGGTTCATCAGGTGCTCTGCTATAGCTGACTTCTCTGGCTGAAGTACAAGTAACAAAATACTTGATAGCATACAGAAAGTATCAATCCTAGTATTGACCCTAGTCTGTAACACTGGTGGGCCCTTGCAGGAATTCATAAGGTTTTTCACTACTGGATATTGATGTTTTCTATGTGAAGGGACACAAGTCCCTTTTCAAGGAAATGTGGAAAACTCCAAAAACTTATTCCTTCCTGTCTCTCACTCCTGTTTCTCCTCCCCTTTATTGAAGGAGGAAACCCAAATTTGGAAGGAGAAGACTGTGGCTGCATTCAGACGCATGCATCAGTTTCTAGAAGAACAAGAGAGGAATCTGCTGGCAAAAATGGAAGAGCTGGAGAAGGAGATTTGGGTAAAAAGGGAGGAACGTTTGGCCAGACTCTCAGAAGAACTCTCCTCAATTTCAAGTCTCATGCAAGAGATGGAGAAGAAGCACCAGCAGTCAGCAAGTGAACTCCTCCAGGTAAGGCCCATATTGTCCCCATGGATGGTGAGAGAGTGACACCTTTGACTTCTATTGGTACAATGTACATATATTTCATTTTATGCACACAATATTAAAATATTGTATTAAATTACCTTTACAATATGTGTATTATAGTTCTATAAAGTATGAAAAAAGTGAAAAATGAAACAAATGAATTTAGTATTTAAACTTGGGTTCCATATCAGAGACATATCATTATCCCAAAATCTGACAAAATCCAAAACATGGCTGTTTTCTGGCATTTTATTTATTTATTTATTTATTTGGGGTTCTTATACCCTACCCTTCTCACCCTGAAGGGGACTCAGGGCGGCTTACAGCAGTAAAGCACGATTAGATGTCTGCAACACAAGACAATCATCAAAAAACTACAAAATTCACAATTACCACAATTCATACATTATCCCAATAAAAACAATAAAATCAATAAAACCAATACAAACTCAATTCCTCCTCCTACACTGTCAGTGTTCGCTATCTCATAGATCTGTTTTTTGATTCCACTTCGTCACTCCTGCTGGTCTTATTCGTCTGGTTGTCTCATTTAATTGCCTGGTTGCCCAAAGGCCTGGTCCCATAACCATGTTTTCACCCTCCTCCTGAAGGAGAGGAGGTATGGTGATGTTCTGATTTCCCCCGGGAGTGAGTTCCACAGGTGAGGGGCCACCACTGAGAAGGCCCTGCTTCTCGTCCCCACCAGCCTCACTTGTGACAGTGGTGGGGTCGAGAGCAGGGCCTCCCCAGATGATCTCAGACTCCGAGGAGGGACGTATTTTAGATAAGGGATATCCAACCTGTAATGTGATATGATGGCACCTTTTAACAGTCAGCGGGGCCAAAGCTCTACAGTGTGATGGCAAATCAACTGAAGATGACTGAGTACAACTGAGTAACATGGGTAGATTTAACAGTGTGATGACGGTAGGAAAATCATCTATTTGATTTCAAAACAGAGTATGACTGACCTCTACCCTGCCAAACACTTGACCTGGTTCAATGTGATGAAGTTTGTCAGACCTGGTCTGGAATAATCTTGTATCCAGTTTTGGACAAAACAATTCAGAAAGGATATTAACAAGCTGGAAGGTGTCCAGAGAAGGGTGACCAAATTGGCCAAAGGTTTAGAAGCCAAACCCTAAGAGGAGTTCCTTGAGGAGTTGGGTACGTTTAGCCAGGAGAAGAGAAGACTGAAAAGTGACATGTTTGCTGTGTTTAAAGAAGTAGGAGCAGGCTTATTTTGTCTTGTCTCAAACACTGGAGAGGTCTTCTTTTCTGAAGATTTTAAACAGAGGTTGGATGATTATCTGCCAGGAATGCTTTGATTATTTTTTCTTGCATAACAGATAGTTAGACTGAAGAGATCCACCTTCCCAACGTCCCGGGGCTTCAAGAAGGCGCAGTTGAACAGTCTTTGGGTGGCTCAGCCAAAAAGCTATTTGTAGTAGATATACCCATGACATAGATTTACCCATCTCTAGTTAGTGGAGGGAGGGCTATTTCATCCTCCTAGGCTTGCTTTAGCTATTTTTGAGTTGGAAATGCTACTTTGTCAGAAATATGAGAGTGATCCCCATCCTTTGCTGAGTTGTTTATTTCCTTTATTCACAGGACATTGGAATCTTCTTACAGGGGTAAGTGAATCTCCCCCGCAATCTCAGGTTTTCATGTGAAGCACATGCCTCTCCCAACTCAGGCTCTGACACAGCGCATTGCACAATTTGGTGTTTGGCTGGGGTTCAGGGTGGAGTTGGAATTGATGCCTAGGAGGCTCCTTCCATACTTGTGATTTGGTGGGTGCATCTACACTGTAGACCTAATGATTTGTCACCACTTAAACTTTTTTTCATGTCAGGAGCGACTTGAGAAACTGCAAGTTCCTTCTGGTGTGAGAGAATTGGCCATCTGTAAGGACGTTGCCCATGGGACGCCTAGATGTTTGGTGTTTTACCATGCTGTGGGAGGCTTCTCTCATGTCCCCGCATGAGGAGTGAGATCTGAAAGAGGGAGCTCACCCGCTCTCCCTGGATTTGAACCACCGACCTGTTGGTCAGCAGTCCTGCGGGCACAAGGGTCTAACCCATTGCACCACCAGGGGCTCCTACCACTTTAACTGCCATGGTTCAGTGATGTAGAATAAAGGGATTGTAGTTGGGTGAGGGACCAGCACTCTTTGGCAGAGAAGGCAAAATACCTTATAAGACTACAACTCCCAAGATGGCATAGCATTTAGCCAAGGCAGTGGAAGCGGTGTTGAACTCTCTGATACTGCTTCTTCTCCTCCAGGTATCAGAATAAGGAAAAATGTGAGATTCCTGTGGTTTTCCCTCCTGCCCTGAAATGGAAGATCTGGGACTTCCGTGATGTTACTCCCTTTCTGGAGGGTGTCATGCAGCAATGGAGAGGTAACCAAATGTCAGAAAGGATTTTCAATGAGATCTGACATTGGTCTGAAAGGGTAAATGAAAAGTGCCAAGCATTTGGAAAGTTGGGGATTATATGGGAGTGTAGAAGGGGCCTACAGCGGGATTGACATGCCAGATAATCCAGTTCAAAGTAGATAATCTGGATTTTATATGGCAGTGTAAAAAGGGGCCTAGAAATCCCTAGAGAGATTGCCTCCGGTAAATGCATGCACTCACACATTTTGGGCCCTTTCTGGATGGACCTTGAGAGACACCATGTCCTGATAAGTCTTTTTCTTTCCTTTCTCTCTTTAGACTCTCTGGAATCCGGACTTCAGCAGCAAAAAGGTAAACCAAAAAGATGTTGTTCCAATGGGATTTGCCATGGTCTTCCCCTGAGGTTGAGAGAGTGGGACTCTCACTCAACTAGCCCCTACAGAATCCCCACTAGAGGAAGATACAAGTAGCTCTTCATTAATGTCTGTCCAGCACACATGTCTGTAGATGTGTCTATTGGTATTGGTAAATATTTATTGTAATTATATAGAGAAGAGAAGTAAAAATTACCGGCAAAAAACAGGGATATCTGTCAGTCTAATTTTCAAAATAAGCAGGTGGTACTCAGAAACATTATTATTACCAAGGTATCAAATTGGGGAAAGTGGTTGAAAAATTTAGTATGAAAAAGGAGAGTAGTGGAAGATCTGGAAATAGTAATAGGGAAGAGGGTTGTGTTAAGGGGGAAGAAATTAGGAGAGAGGATAAAGGGAGGATAGGTTTTGAAGTATATGTAGTGTCTAATATAGAGTAAAATGGTTATTAGCCTAGGGTTTTTTTTGTCGTGTCAGGAGTGACTCCTGGTGTGAGAGAATTGGCCGTCTGCAAGGACGTTGCCCAGGGGACGCCTGGATGATTTGATGTTTTTATCATCCTTGTGGGAGGCTTCTCTCATGTCCCCGCTTGAGGAGCTGGACCTGATAGAGGGAGCTCATCCGCCTCTCCCCAGATTTGAACCTGCGACCTTCAGTCCTGCCAGCACAGGGGTTTAACCCACTGTGCCACCAGGGGCTCCATTAGCCTAGGTAAAGGTAAAGGTTTTCCCCTGACATTAAGTCCAGTCGTGTCCGACTTTGAGGGTTGGTGCTCATCTCCATTTCTAAGCCGAAGAGCCAGCCTTGTCCATAGACACCTCCAAGGTCATGTGGCTGGCATGACTGCATGGAGCGCTGTTACCTTCCTGCTAGAGAAGTACCTATTGATCTACTCATATTTGCATGTTTTCAAACTGCTAGGTTGACAGAAGCTGGGGATGACAGCAGGAGCTCACCCTGATCCTCAGATTCAAACCTGCGACCTTTCGGTCAACAAGTTCAGCAGCTCAGCAGTTTAACCCATTGCACCACCAGGGACTTGGTTATAAGGGTGGATTAAGACATATTTGATGGATGGGAGGGGCTGAAGCAGGGGTCTTTGCCCTTTGCCATTCTCTGGATGGGTTCAAGGAGTTTCTTCCTAGCAGCCCCCTTGCTGCAGAGGAGGTGATGGGCTCCAGAGGAGGGGAAGTTTTGGGGAAGGGATCTGGGTACAGTTATTGAAACAGCATGTTGATATATGTTTAATTCAGGAGATCCACTGAATAAAAAAGGATAAGATGAAACTGTTGAACCTGAAAAGTTGGGACCCACAATACGAATCGAGAGGAGTTGCAATTATAATAAATGATACTAATAGGTTTAGAGAAAAAGATACCAGTCAGGGAAGGAGACTCATAATGATAAGGGGGCAACTATACAACAGTGATATTTCCATTGCAAGTGTCTATGCTCCAAACAAAAAATAGTTAAGATTCATAAACAGAACATGCACCAAAATTGAAAAACATGCAAAGGGAGATGTAATCATCAGACGAGATTTAAGTATGGAACTATACATGAAAGAAGAAGCTTGGGAACTAACCCCCGGAGCAGGAATGTAAAATCAACTTTAAAAATAGAATCTAATTAAGGCCTATAATAGAATAGGTGAAAAGGGTTTGATACCAACCTTCTACTTACATAAGCACTCCAAATTCACGACTATAGACTACTTTATAGTAGGAATTAATAACTTAAGAACAATAAAAAAAATCAAAGTGGGGAAACAATAGCCAGGAGATGCACAGTCCCATTTTGCTTAAATTGGGTAAACCTGCAAGGAGATTCTCAAAGACTGGGTTGTTGAAGGTTTTTCGGGCTATATGGTCATGTTCTAGAAACATTCTCTCCTGGCGTTTCTCCTGTATCTGTGGCAGGCATCTTCAGAGATTGTGAGGTCTTTACAAGCTCTGAGGATGCCTTCCATAGATGCAGGTGAATATGCAAAATAATAAGAGTTATATAATTGAAATAAGGCAATAATAATAATGATAATGATAATGATAATGATAATAATAATAATAATAATAATAATAATAATAATAATAATATATTTATATCCCACCACCATCTCCCAGAGGGAATCTGGATGGCTCACAAAACACTCAAGATGTGGCATGCAAAATACAACAAGTGTAAAACAAAATGCAATACGAGTAGA